CAGGAATTGATAACACTGTATTGAAGGAAATGAAAATATTGGTAGATAAGTAAACTGTATATATGATAGATAATAGCAGTTTGCATTATTGCTAGAGCAATCAAATATTTAGTGATAACGAATAGTAGCATAATAAACAATCCAAAATTTCTACAAATATAATTAACACTGTGCAATTGATATTATTAAAATGATGTTCACATCTGCCGAACTGCTTGAAAAATACCCAATTAATCTTTGTTGAGGAAAATTTATTCTGCTATAATTAATAATAAAGTTATCTGGAACTTGAAGTTCACATCTTATCCCAATGAACGTACTGGAAACTTTCAGAAGGTGATATTTCAGAAATGCTTAATGAAGAACTTGAGATTTATTTAAGATATTTGCTTACATTTGTTAAAAATAATTTCTTTAGCTTCATTATCAGTAAAAACGACGAGCCATAAAATCGAGAGCAAAGTGAAGTGATGAGGGAAATTTTATTTTTGATGAATATTGATGAAGATGAGAGAAATTTTATTTTTCGGTGTCACTTTTAACGACAGTCAAAGTGTTGGATGAAAAAAGCCAATTCAGGAAGGTGGATCTAGTAAGTATCAATCGTTGGAATTTTAAGATCAATTTTAAGAGATATTTAATTCATAAATTTGACACCATGGAAGATAAAGTTACACTGAGGGGAACTGAGAAAGCAAAAACAACGATAAAGTTCAGATAGATTGAGAAAGCAAAAAATTATTGTATCTTTCTGAAAACAACCGTGTGGATTCATGAAACAGAAAAAATGAAATGCTTATTGACTGTAATGTGCTCCGTTCCGTACGAATAACATCAGCGATTATAACCGAAACAAAAATTCATCCTCTTCTGTTCTTCGTCACGGTATTTTCATTTCTCTTCTGTCTGTGCAATAGCCGAAAAGATAAATTTAGATAAACGACCGGGAACTATCCGAATACAAAACAAAACTGTCCTATTTCAAAGCTCATGAACAATTCATGAAAATCAATGGAAAAAATCGATTATTAGTTCATTTGAAGTATGAGTGAACAACGCAAAAAATTTATTCAATTCCTTTCACTCGTGTTTAGTGACAGATTAAACAGATTCATGAAATCATGAAATAATATTTTTGTTTTACGAAATGATATAAGAAGAACGGATGGATGAAGAAAACATGAATAATCACAGGATATATGTTCTTCCGAAAATCATTGCGATGGAGTGCATATCGACCAAAACGTAGCAATTGTCCTTTTACATCTGGTGAAGGTGTGTAATTGATGTGCAGAAAACAATGAAGAGATGGAAGAAAAAAGTTCTTTAAGAATTAATTCCATTTGAAGAAAAAGGTTCTCAACAATGTAAACTTGTTCTTTGCCATCCATTTTATTTGTAGTTCTTCCTTTGGTTGTAATTTGTGACTGCAAAAAGATTCCTGAAATGATCAGGGACTGCTGGTCAGAATTCTAATTTAATGACCAGAAAAACTAATCGTTGATTTAGACTTGATCATTAAATTAAGAATGGAGACCAGGCTACGTGATTTTTAACTGATCAAAGGTCATCATTTAAGTGATGATTGAGAATGTAAGGAAATAATAATGTTACCAATAACTTCAGTTGATTCTGTTTTCAACTGCGGCAGTACAAAAGTGAAATTAAAGACACAAACTATTGATTCTTCTTCGTGTATCCTTCTGGTTGTCTGTTAATCAGTATAGCCTTTTCGTTGTCTGTTAATTCATTGTTTACTAATATATTCACTTATTCTCGACATTTCGTTTCAACCCATAAGTTACTAATTCGTTTAGGCATTATAAACTATAACAGAATCATGAAGGCCTCCACGGCAAAATATATGCTACATGAGATTTTCGAATATTTTAAGAATCTTTTCAGCATGAAATCTGCTTAATAACTCGCTGGCTTTTATTTGTAAAACACAATACCAAACAAAATTTTTCAAAATTATTCAAAATTTAAAGTTTATATAGTGATAGAAAGCAATTTTGAGAAAGAAAACAATTAACCACAGCAATAGTAATAGTAAGAATAGTAATAATACTGCGTGTACTACGGCTAACCGTTAATAAGATAATAATAATATGGCAAAAAATTTGTTGTACGGACACCCATACCAGTGAAAACATCCCATAAACCAATAATATCATTTCTGGATGCTGCTGGACCACTTCCAGGAACGCTGAACATACTCGAAACATCAGTTCTGGGTGGTGGTGAAGCAAGTTTGGGAAATTTGAAGAACTGCGTTAACGCTTCAATAATATCAGACCAAAACTAAAATTTATTATAAGCTCTTAATGGGAATTATGACGTTTAAATGAGAACTGGTGTTTAATGTATCACATATTATAATTGTGTTACAATATGTGATATATTAAGTTTCACTTTAAACGAAGTATGAACGTACGCTGTTGCCCGTAATATCACTGAACGGTTGAAAAAAGTCAATCAATTGTGCATTAGTTTCAGCAACTGATAACATTGTTCTGAAAAAGCAGAAAAACATTAGCAAATAAGTAAATCAAATAATTAATATGATAACAGAAAGAATATTTATTTATCACTTTAACTTACACGGTTAGAGTAATCAAATATTTAGTGATAAAAAATGGCAGCATAATAAATAATCCAAAATTCCTGCAATTATTATTGATAATATAGTACTGATATTATTATAATAATGTTCACGTCTAAAAAACTGTTATAAAGATATTTGTTTTATTCTTATAAGGAAATTTCTATCAGAATTAACGTAAAGTTAGAAGGAAACTTGTTCTCAACATATTTTGTTGCGATAAATTCTCACAGAAGATGATATTTTATGCTTAATACTTAATGAAATTTATTTAATGGTTTAAGTTGTCAAAAATAATTAACTTGATTATCAGAAAAATAATAAGCCATAAAATTCAGGATAAAGTTGCTCAGAAATATCATTCATTCGCAATTGAGAATCGAATTAATTATTAACAAGAACGGCTAATTACAAAGAGAAATCTATTTCATCAATTTTACGTTGGCTTAATAGGATAAGGGGAGGCAATTAATTCATTTATGTATTATACAAAATTGGTAACACCACATTTCTTTGCATCTCTACAAAAAAAACAGGTTTGAAGAAAAGTAAAATTTGTGCTTTAGTTATGATCCTCCAATTAGTTCTACTTTGGAAATCCTATCAAGGAAGTAAGGAAATCGATTACGGAACAATTGAAGTGAAACTACTGTTTGACCAATTCTCTGAGTATATACTAATGATTTTGATTGCATGAAGTATACATGACAATAAAAATATGACCAAGTTAGCTAAGCAAATTATTCCGGTTATCTTTCCGGGAAATGAACAATCCATGCTGCTTCATGAAACAAGTATGATGACATGCTTATCCGTACAGTTACTATGCTAATTGATTGCAATTGATACCTTCCGCTATCGTACAAAATGCATAAACTCGTATTCACTTGCAAGTATTGTTCCTCTATTATCCACGTTATTTTTTTCACTCTTCTATCTACCTAATTGAACTTCTGCGCTTTTTTTAAAATTAAGTAAATTGGTATATGAAGACGGATAGAAATATAAAATTTGTTTCAGATATTCAACTGGCCTAAGCAACTGACGGTTTTGCAAACGGGGAAAATTATGAAAGCGATTGGTGATGAAACAGCAAAGTATTTGAGATCAATTAGTTTTAAAATTCAACAGAGAATAATTCAAAAATTATCATTTTTATTCTCGGAAAACCTTATCTGATATTTGTAGATGAATTAAACGGATTCTTAAAATCATGAAGTTTATCCAACGACAGCGCACATCTGACGTAAAAGAAAAAAAATAAAGAAATGGAAGAAAACTGTTCTTTAAATAACTGACCATATTTTTTTGAAAAAATTCAAGTATGATAAACTTGTTCTTTCTTTAAATAACTGACCATGATATTTTAAAAAAATTTAACAATGTAAACTTGTTCTTTGCCTTCCACTTTATTTGTACTTCTTTCTTTAGTCGTGATTTTTGCCGCAATGGGAATCATGAAACAGCAAGGAACTATTGGTCAAAATTCAAATTTAATGATCAGAAAACTAATCGTTGATTTAGACTTGACCATTAATTTAAGAATGGCAGCCAGAAGTAGAGTTTCTGGTCATCCTTACTCTACGTGATTTTTAACTGATCAAAGGTCACTATTTGAGTGATAATTGAGGAGGTAAGGAAACAATGTCATCAATAACATCAGTTAATTGTTTCCAACTGCAGTAGTGCAAAAATGGAAGTTAGAGAGACAAAACTATCGATCACTTCCTTCATGTCGTTATATTTACAGCGTGAAGGCAACATGCGTTCCTTTTCGATCTTCCATTCATCTTGAAATGTCTTTTTTCCTCTTCACTTCAATTATTTTTCACTAAGTAAATACCTCTCCACCGGTGTGTCTTTTTAATTATTTGTTTTTTATTTATTGTTTACTAATACATTCATCTTTACTCGACAGTCTCGTTCAACATAAGTTACTGATTCCTTTAGGCATTATATAGGGTTTAAGTAAAAACATTAAATGTTTAGGTATTTTTCCTAGAGGTGTCCAAACGGTACTATAAGAATCTTTTCAGTGCAAATTGCTTAATAACTCGCCGGCTTTTATTTGTAAAATACAATTCAAACAAAATTTTTCACAATTTTTCAATATTTAAAGTCTATATAGTGATACAAAATAATCAGGAGAAAGCAAAATAGTTAACCACGGTTATAGTAATAATAAGGGTAGTAATAATATGGTGTGTACACATAGTATGGATAATAGCGTGGATAACTGCGGTAATTACTGCGTGACAAAGAGGAACCAAGCAAGGTTCCTGCAAGGAAACCAACACCAGCGCTAAGTCCAGAACCCAGCAAACCAGGCCGTTGAGCCTGATTTTGTACTGCTGCCGGCACTCTCCCAAAGTTAGCATTGTTGTTTAACGACTGAAATTTATAATAAGCTCTCATTGAAATGATGACGCTTAAATGAGAAATAATGCTTAATGTGCCACATATCGCAGTTGTATTACAATATACGATACATTAAGCATTACTTTAAATGAAGTATGACACATACGTTGTCACCTGCAATATTGCCATTGAACGATCGAAGAACTCCATGAAAATTTTGTGCATTTGTTTTATCAATTGACAATATTATTCTGAAAAGCAGAAAAACGTTAACAGATAAGTAAACAAAATAACTATGTGATAACAGCAAAAATATTTGTTCATCATTTTAACTTACATTATTGTTAGAGCAATGAAATATTTGATGATGAGAAATGGCACCATAATAAATCCAAAATTCCTGCAAATATTATTAATAATATAGAACTGATATTATTACAGCAATGTTCACGTCTAAAAAACTGCCAGAAAAACGTTCGCTTTATTTTCATTAAGGAAATTTATCCAACCAGAACTAATCGTAAAGCTAGCCTTATCATATTTTGCTATAATAAATTTTCACAGAAGATGACATTTTACAAATGCTTAATGAATGACGTGAAATTCATTTAATACTTAAATTTATCAAAAATAATCCCGCTGGTTTGATTATCAGGAAAACGATAAGCCATAAAATTTGGATAAAATTGCTCGGAAGTTAAACTGAGTCTATCGTTGATCCCAGAATCGAATTACTTGCTAACAAGAACGATTAATTATGAAGAGAAATCTATTTCGTCAATTATAATGCACAAGATTGATAATACCACATTCCTTTCTTCTTTGCAAAAAACAGGTTCTGAAGAAAAGTGAAATTTGTGCTCTTGTCGAATTCAGTTATGATTCTCTCCAATTAGTTCTACTTCGGAAATGATACTTTCAAGAGAACAAGAAAATCGATTACGGAATAATTGAAAGTGAAATTACTGTAGAAGTGAAATTACCAGTGAAACATTTAATCCGTCAATACAAATTAAAAACATAAAGGAACACCTTTCTATGTTCAATAGGAAAAATTTATGAGTATATGTTGATATGATTATGATTTTATGAAATGAACGATGATAAAAATATAAACAAGTTTACGTCATTTCTTTCGCTCTTTTCTCTGTCTAATTGAATCTTTTCTTCAATATTAAGTCAATGGAATATGGAGATGAATAGAAGGGCAAAATTGCTTTGTTTCAGATAATTTGTGTGTCAGGATTTCAAAACCCTAAGCAACATGACGATTTCGTAAACGAGAAAAATTGTCACAACGATACATGATGAAGCAGCGAAGTATTTGAAGCCAATTAGAAAACTTTATCGCGTATTTAGAAACGAACTAAACGGATTTTTTAAAACAATAAAACAATCTTAAAACAATTGAAGACAAATTTTTGCATTTTGGAAAAAATAAGTAGAACAGACGGATGGGCGGACAGAAACTGTAACACAATATATGCTACTCAAATAGTTCTGATGAACTGCACATCGCGAAAATGTTCCAATTGTTTAGCTTAAGTTTTCCCAGTTGAAGTGAAAGAAGAAATAAATAAATGGAAGAAAATTGTTCATTAAATAACTTACCATTTTTTTTGGAAAAATTCAACTATGATAAACTTGTCTTTTCTATTCCGCGTCATCTGTACTTCTTCCTTTTATTATTACTTTAAATTGTGATCAAAATTTTGAAATAGTAAAATACATCAGCCAAGACTCTAACTGCAAACTTTTATAATCAAGAAGACTGTTTTTGCTGATTTAAGCCTGATTATTGAATGAAGCCAGAAGAAATGCTCTTGGTTAGCGTATTTTGCGTGATGTTTTAGTGATCAAAGATTTACACTTGTAAAGAAATGACAGAATAATTTTGTCAATTCGAGCAAATAAAATCTGGGAAATAGATCTTGGCTGTATATAAGGAAGTCCTTCACGAAGTACAGACTATGAGGTCACACAGTGTCACTGATGCATAATTTCGAAGTGTTATTTTGTAATTTACATATACTGTCCTATGAATTTAGATTTTATGGTGGATCATTTCATTGAATACATTCTGTAAATATAATTTTCGGAAATCTAAAATCAGCAAAATGTTGCAAAAGTATTTTAGAAAAATGTAAAACAGTTAATTACTTCTAATAGTAATATGAACAATAGTACAGATAATCGCTGCAATAAGCATATGGATAAGATTCGAATCTTCTACCAAATGCAATGCCTAGAATGAAATATTGGACACCAGTAGGAAAAACGAAGCAAAATATTTTTGTTGAGCATGAAATGGATTTAATACCATCCAATGTATATCTCATTGTATTACATTGAATTTATTGTTGAATGAGTGAAATTTAAAATAACTTTTCACAGAGAAATTAAACGTTTAAATCAGGTGGCACCTAAATTGAGCGTAATAGGTCGCATACAGCAGCTATATCATGCATAAGTTCATAAAAAGTGTAAAGCTCACGTTTGTGTTTTCAGCTTAATTATAAGAAAAGACGGCAAGTAACGAAATTCGGGATGAAGTAAAGTCTAGTATATAATTTTGTGAAAGTTAGATTCATTATTGGCAATAATAAATAATTATTGAGATAAATTCATTTGAGCAATTTCACCGTTAAGTATATTCAATTGCTGGATGAGGAGAGCCAATTCAGGTGACCTATTTACTCACTTAAGAAAATGTCACTTAATTATTAACTGATGATTCTAATGCTAAGCATTTTACACGGATTATGTAATTCGCAAATTTAATATCACACTTTCATATTTTCTTGCAAGAAAAGAACTGATCGCAAAGGAAAATAAAATTCTTGTTTTCATTTAATTCGGCTGCAATTCTCTTATTAGTTCTGCTCCTGAAATATCATCACTCAAAGAATCAAAGGATTAAAAACAATTGGGAGCAAAAATGTATGAAAGTGATTGTATGATTAAGTTTGTGTATGTGGATGGCTGATTTCGATGTATGAAATATTTAAATAACAAAGATGCAGCTAAGGTAAACCAGCAAGCAGAGCGAAGATATTTCAATTATCTTTCCTGAAAACAAACGTTCCACCATTCATGAATGAAACAGGTATGACAACATGCTTATTGTTACAACAGTTAAGTCAATTGACCGTAATCTTATAGCATGCTACCGTATCATAACGTCAAGGAACGTTCTTTTTTAATTCGTCAGCATATCTTTATTTCTTCATTTCTCTTCTCTCTGTGTAATTAAATGGATACGATGGCGGAGAGATAATGTATGCGCTATCTTTTATCCATTATCGTAACAATTAGTTAATTGATACCATTTCTTTTTGCTTATCAGACCTATCATAATATTTCGATCAAACTGGTCTTCGATATCTCTTTTATGGTAAACTGATAATGCCTAAAAGAAGGGTTGTTTTTGTCAACGTTCATGGAATTGCGATGTTTCAAATAGCTATTTGACTGTAAATTGATTACACTTTACCTTAACAAACTTGATTAGAAGTTACTCTTATCATAGTAGATGGGTCTGCTAAATGATTGGTTGTGATCCCATAAATGAATTTAAAATAGTTTGTTTCTGTTAAATAAATGAAAATATATGACAGTAAGTTATTTATTGAGACTACAAAATTTATCTGTTTAACTATTATTCCTAAATGTTATGCAGATAAATTATATGGCTCAAAAAAAGATCATATCTAGCTTTTCCAAATACTGAAATTTATTCATCTGTTTATAACTTAGCAAAATTCACAAACGACTAATGAGATTACGGCACTTGGATTTCTGGTATATACAAGGTAGCTGCATCAACTGTCGTAGATTTTATGCAGCAAAATCATGAAAGAGTTCATTAGAAATGAGGAAAAAAACAAAAGCAAGAAATCATAGCGTGTAATGCGACTTAATAATTCTTTGTAATTATTTACAATTAACAGAAAACAAGCTATCCTATTTTTAAATCTGATGTAAAATTCATAAATGATTACTGAGAATGTCAAAGCAGTAACGGTAATGAAGGAACTGTAACAATTAACGGTTATTTATGCATCTAAAATGTAAACGAAGGTTTATGGACAGATTTATTCAATTCTCATGAAGCAATGATTGCCCTCTTCAAGAAAACATAACTCATGTTTGGCGACAGATTAAACAGATTCCTTAAATTATGAAGCCTAACTTATCTTTTCGGGGGAAAGCATAAGAGGAATGGATAGATTATTGGACGCACAAATAGTCCCAGAATATATGTTATTCAAATAATTATTGCGATGATTTGCATACAGCAGAAAATGTTCCTATTATTGAGCATATTTAAAGTTTTTCTGGCAGCAAAAATTTGACGTGAAGTGAGAAATAAAGAGATGGAAGTGAACTGTTTGAAAAAATATTTTACTATGATAAATTTATTCATTCTCTTCCGCGTCATCTATTACTTATTCCTTTAATTATTTTTTAAATAGTGATCAAAATTTTGAAATGAAGTATATTGGTCAATACTCAATTGCGAAATTTTAACGATTTGGAAAACTATTGTTTGATTTAGATTTTGTTATTGAATTAATAATAGAATCAGAAGAAAAGCTCTTAGTTAGTCATAATGTTTTAGTAATCAACGTTAACACTTGAATGACTGTTGAATAGATTAGAAAATAATGTTATTAATAACTTCAGTTGATTCGTATTTCGATTAAAACCGAATAAAACTTTGCAGAATTTTTTTAAATTTAAAATCTATATAATGATAGAAAGGAGTTGAATAATATAAAACAGTTAAGAATAGAATTGAAAATATAAAACAGCTAACCAAGATAATATAAATAATGATAGTAGTAGGAGAAGCAATTGTAAAATGGATAAAGTCTGAATCTTCCATCAAATGTTGCGCCTAGAAGGAAACCTCCAAAGAAGGATTAAGACCACGAATTATTGCAGGAGTTCGTTGAAATCGCCGATTTGGTAGGAAATTTTGCAGAGATTAAAGTAATCTCCTCCAGCGCCTCCATTAGCATTGGATCTTATGTTTGTATTGTTATTCAGTGACTGAAATCAATAAGATTTAAATGGGAACGCTAATAGTTAAATGCTATAACATATCTGTTGTAGAACTTACTTTATTACTTGAACTTACATAGACCTGCAATGTTCCGGTTGAATGATTATGCATCTAAAAATCTATTTTGTTGCTGCTATACATTCGTTTCAGGAATTGATAACACTGTATTGAAGGAAATGAAAATATTGGTAGATAAGTAAACTGTATATATGATAGATAATAGCAGTTTGCATTATTGCTAGAGCAATCAAATATTTAGTGATAACGAATAGTAACATAATAAACAATCCAAAATTCCTACAAATATAATTAACACTGTGCAATTGATATTATTAAAATGATGTTCACATCTGCCGAACTGCTTGAAAAATACCCAATTAATTTTTACTGAGGAAAATTCATTTTGCTATAAGTAATAATAAAGTTATCTGGAACTTGAAGTTCACATCTTATCCCAATGAACATACTGGAAACTTTCAGAAGGTGATATTTCAGAAATACTTAATGAAGAATTTGAAATTCATTTAAGATATCTGCTTACATCCATTTAAAATAATTTCTTTAGCTTCATTATCAGTAAAAGCGACGAACTATAGAATCGAAAATAAAGTAAAATGGTGAGTAAAGTGATTCTTGAAATCATGAAATTACATTTTTATTTTACGAAATGACAGAAGAAGAACGGATGGATGAAGAAAACATGAATGATCGCAAAATATGTTCTTCAAATAATTATTGGGATGGAGTGTATATCGACCAAAATAAAATTATTCTTTTACGTCTCCCTGATGAAGGCATGTAATTGATGTGAAGAAAGTGGTTAAGAGATGAAAGAAAGCATTCCTTCTAAAACTAATTTCATCAAAAAAAAAGTTCCCAATAACATAAATTTTTCTTTGCCTTCTATTTTATTTGTACTTTTTCCTTTAATTGCGATTTTTGACTGCAATGAGAATCCTGAAATAACGGGGGACTATTGGCCAAAATTCGAATTTAATGATCAGAAACACTAAACGTTGATTTAGACTTGATCAATAAGTCGGGGATGAGAGCCAGTGAAAAGCTTCTGGTCAATCATAGTACTCCACGTGATTTTTTACTGATTAAAAGTCATCATTTGACTGATAATTAAGGAGGTAAGGACACACCGACAACTAATTGAGGTAACATTAATAACTTCAGTTAATTCTGATTCCAACTGCACATTCACAACGTTTTTGCGAACATGCGTTCTTTTTCAATTATCTATTCATCTTGAAATGTCTTTTTTTTCTCTTCACTTCAATTATTTTTCAGCAACTAAACACCTCTTTAATCAGTATATCCTTTTAATTATTTGTTCTTAATTTATCGTTTACTAATACCTCACTTACTCTCGACATTTCGTTTTAATCCATAACTCAATGATTCGTTAGGTATTACAAAGATTTAGATATAAAAAAAAAAACATTTAGGTATTTTCCGTTAAGGCAGCTAAGCGATACTATGCAGAATCATAAAAGATTGCCGTGGCAAGACTTATGTCGCATGAGATTTTCGACATATTTTAAAAATGTTTTCAGCACACAATCTGCTTAATAATTTGCTCATTTTTATTTGTAAAATGCAACACCAAACAAAATTTTTCACAATTTTTCAATATTTAAAGTCTATATAGTGATACAAAATAATCAGGAGAAAGCAAAATAGTTAACCACGGTTATAGTAATAATAAGGGTAGTAATAATATGGTGTGTACACATAGTATGGATAATAGCGTGGATAACTGCGGTAATTACTGCGTGACAAAGAGGAACCAAGCAAGGTTCCTGCAAGGAAACCAACACCAGCGCTAAGTCCAGAACTCAATAAACCAGGCCGTTGAGCCTGATTTTGTACTGCTGCCGGCACTCTCCCAACGTTAGCATTATTGTTTAATGACTGAAATTTATAATAAACTCTTACTAGAAATAATAACGCATAAATGCGAAGTATTGCTTAATGTGTCACATATTATGGTTATGCTACAATGTATGACACATTAAGCATTACTTTAAATGAAGTATGACACATACGTTGCCACCTGCGATATTACCATTGAACGATCGAAGAGCTCCATGCAAAATTTGTGCATTTGTTTTATCAATTGACAATATTATTCTGAAAAGCAGAAAAACGTTAACAGATAAGTAAACAAAATAACTGATGTGATAACAGCAAAAATATTTGTTCATCATTTTAACTTACATTATTGTTAGAGCAATGAAATATTTGATGATGAGAAATGGCACCATAATAAATAATCCAAATTCCTGCAAATATGATTGATAATGTACAACTGATATTTTTACAATAAAGTACAAAATTGATAACACCACATTTCCTTGCCTCTTTATAAAAAAACAGGTCCTGATGGAAAGTGGAATTTGTGTTTTTGCCGAGTTCAGTTAATGGTTCTCTAATTTGTTTTACTACGAAAATGTTATCTTTCAAGGCATCAAAAATCGGAACAATTGAAAGCGAAATTACTGTATGACTATTTGTGAGTATATATTGACCTTATGAAATACACGAGGATAAAATTATGACCAGGTATGCTAAGCAAATTATTACGATTATCTCTCCGGAAAACAAACAATCCACCATGGATGCATGAAAGAGGTATGATGGCACGCTTATCCGTAAGTTGTTAAGTTGTAAAGTTGACTGTAATATCCTCCGCTACATACGCATAACTTCGTATTCACTACAAGTATTATTCTTCTATGCTCGACGTCATCTCTTTCATTCTTCTCTCTTTCTAATTAAATTTTTTCCGTTTTTCAAACTTGGGTGAATCGATATATGGAGACGGATTGAAATGTAAAATTACTTTGTTTCAGAAAACTGTTGTGTTTCAAGATTCAACAGGCCTAAGTAAAATAACGGTTTTGAAACGAGAAAAATTATTATAATAACACGTGATGAAATAGCAAAGTATTTGAAGGCTTTAAAATTCAACAAAGATTTATTCAAAAATTATCATTTCGATTCTCGAAAAACCTTATCTCGTATTTATAGGTGAATTAAACAGATTTTTAAATTCATGAATTCGAACTTTTGCATTTGGAAAGAAATGATGGATGGATGGACGAACACAAATGATTACAGAATATATGCTACTTAAATAGTTCTGATGAATTGCATATCGCAGAAAATGTCCCAATTATTTAGCTTACTTTAAATTTTCCTAAAGAAGAAATAAAGAGATGAAAGAAAATTGTTCATTAAATAACTTATCATTTTTTTTGAAAAAATTCAGTTATGATAAACTTGTCCTTTCTATTCCGCGTCATCTGTACTTTGTACTTTTTCCTTTAATTATTACTTTAAATGATGATTAAAAATTTAAAATAACAAGGTACATTGGCCAAGATCCACAAAGTTTTAATTATTGGAAAGACTGTTTGTTGACTTTTCATCTTATTTTGCATTGTGTTTTCATGGTATTTTTCTTTGTGTTTTCTTTGGGTGATTATTAAGAGAGAGGGAGAAAAGGTGAAGGAACAATGTTACCGGATATTTTGGTTAATTCTATTTCCCATTTGTGTAGTAAAAAAGTTAAGGATAGAGGGACAAATTACCGATTACTTCTTTTCACGTACAAATTATTTATGCGACATGTTTGAAATGAATTTAACACGAAATAGGTCTGTGCAATTTTTTCTTTGCCAACTGCTCGTCTTTCATTTTCGACTTTTCATTTGCTTTTAATGATTTTTTTCTTCTTTACTTCAATTATTTTTCAGGTAAATAACTCTGTAATCAGCAGAATTCTATAATCGCCTTTTCAATAAAGCGAATTCTACTGATTTTTCATTTATTAACTAAATTACCAATAAAATCTGTTTTAATTCGAGAAAATGGATTTTAGGATGACAAACATTAATAAATCATGTCAACTGGAATTTCAGCAATAGCATCTTAGCTATAATTGGTACATAATTTCGAATTCTTATTTTGTAATATGCATACGCAGTCTTATGGATTTAGATTTCATGGTACATTTCATTGAATATATTTTGTGAATATAAACTCAGATATAAGATATTTTAAGAAGACTTTACTAGTTATCTTCAGCAAATATTTTGCATCAGAATTAATCAATTACTAATATATATGTTCATATTTTTTCGATCCATAAGTTATTAAAGCCTATTTGTTGTAATTTTGTCCCTCAGAAGCCCCGATACAGATATTATAAAGAAAAATTTTAAGCTATTTATGTTTAACTATATCTAAGGGACAGCACAAAATTCACTTGAAATATGCGAAATATATTTTGTCAAAACATTGATAATTAACCATACAAAATTCCTGCAAATATAATTAATAGCGTATATTAGTATTAATTCCAGTATCGCAATTTTTGCTAGAGACGCGGGATGGCAATAACTTGTGCTTTTCGAATATTTTTGAAATTTATTCAGCGCATCATGTATATAATAACTGTAGAATACAATACCAAACAAAACTTGGTATAATTCTTAACAATTTTTAATTTGTGCATTGACAAAACAGTTAACCACGATAATAATAGTAGTAATAGTATGGATTGTGATGATAGTAATAATACGTCGACCTATATGGACTATATCCTGGATATCTACTGTAGTAAGGATAATAAGGGTATGGCAAGTCACTACCAAGCAAAACAATTGCAGTCGGTTGGGCACTTCCACGTTGAACAGCACCTCTTCCTCCTGTTATTGAATTGCCATTATTGTTCAACGACTGAAATTTAAAATAAGCTTTTATTAGAATAGTTAACAAATAATCTTACAATGGTAATGTTACATACTGTAGTTGAACTATAGTAAGACATTGAACATCATCTTGTACAAGTATGAAACTTACATTGTTACCAGCCCTGTTGTTATTGAATGATAATAAATTTAAATGGAACTGTGCATTTGTTTCAGCAATTGATAGTATTGTTCTGAAAAAGTCGAAAAGCATTAACAGGGTAAACAAACTAAATAACTGATGTGATAACAGTAAAAATAGTTCACACTTTAACTTACATTATTGTTAAAGCAATCAAATATTTGGTGGTAAAGAATGGCAGCATAATTAACCATACAAAATTCCTGCAAATATAATTAATAGCGTATATTAGTGTTATTGTATATGGTCAAATTCTACGAGACTGTTTGAAAAGTATTGATTATATTTCTGTTAAGAAAAATTCATACTAGAATTTTCCAAAAATTTAATTGTTCAATTTAATCCCTTGACTAAAGCCTAATTGTTGTAATTTTGTCCCTCAGAAGGCCTGATATAGATATTACAGAGAAAAATTTTAAGCTATTTATGTTTAAATATATTTAAGTGACAGCGCAAAATTCACTTGAAATATGCGAAATATATTTTGTCAAAACATTGAGAATTAATTTAACTTCAGAAGCACAATTTAATTTGCATTTAACTCTTCTATTTTTAACTTCAAGACTCTCAAACAAAATATACTGTATATTTGGCTATGAAACATGGCAGTTTTCTTATTTTTTGAATAAGTTACCGTGACCTTTAAAGATTTCTATTTACACTGAAGTTCTAAAAATTGCAACATCTCGAAAATATCCATTATATTAAAAGACTGATTAATGCAAAGAGACAAAATAAATATAGCTGGTTTCCTAAAAGTCCGATACAAATATTTTACAGAAAAGTTTTAAGTCATTTATCAATTCTTGAAAAATTTAATGTGAGCAATATGCTTTGAAGTCATTACTCATATCGTTTGTTGTGTTAGCAAAATTACCTTATTAGCTTAAATTACCTCATTGTTTAAGAGTTGAAAGTGCGGAAGATTGAAAATTTTTAGTAGAACATACAGCAATAGATCGGTATTTTTGATTTTTAACTCCTATGTATGAGAATATATGGAAGCCTACAGAAGTGTAAAATCGATTGCTCTCAATTTAGGGTAGACTAACTGAGATTTGAAATATGTTCTGAATCAGTTGAAATCAGCTTGAAATCAGGAATGAGATATTATTAGCCAGATGAAGTGACATGAAAACAGTCAAAAACATAACAGCCAAAAACATAATGATGAAGTGTATATCACAAAAAATGTTAATAGCATTTTACGTTTCTTTAACAATGACATATTTGATGTGAATGATAAAATAAAATGATGAAAGAAAACGGTTCTTTAAAATCTAGCGTTTCGTAAATCAAAAAAAATTGCGATCAAGTGTCGTAAACCTGTTTTTTGAAGCAAATAATGTCAATAATATCTCAGTTCATTACGATTCCAACTACGTCACGATAAAGCAAAAGAGAGAGGAACAAACTCTCGTTCAGTTCCTTCCGTAAAATAATTACCTCTACATCATATTTCATGTAATAAGATTAGGAACTCTTTCTTCGCCAAATATTTGTTTCTTCGAAATTTCATTCACTTTGAAATGACTTTTTTCCTCTTCAATTATGGTAACCGATTTACCACAATCAGTACATTTTCCTAACTGTCCTTCTAATAACCTATTTTTTTCATTTATTGATTTTGCCAATTTTAACTGAAGAAATTATTACTGAACATCAACAAGCCATATCGAGCAGAATTTAAATAACAGCAACTTGACTGCATAGGATAAGCAAGGCTGAAACAATATTATATGTAATTGTTACTGTCATTCCATAATCTTAATCTTTCAGGTAATTGCTGCATAATTTCGAAATCTTATTTTACTAATAGCATCTGTGTTTTGTGGAGAAAGAAACCTAGCAATTCAAGATACTATTCCTTTTAAATCATTTAATTATCAAAACATTTCAATCGTTTTGAGAATATAAACTATGTTAGAGTTTCGAAAGGCTTCTACGACGATAACCTTCTTTGCATAAATTCTCGAATATTTTCAAAATTTATTCAGTTTATAATTTATTTGAAAGCTTACCGGTTTCATCTATAGAATATAACTTAAACATTTTTTAAAAATTTAGAATCTGCAAAGAAAGAAAAAGGCATGCATAGAAAATAATTAAATAATTAATAATTAGCAAAACAATTGTAACAGCGGTGATAGGGACAAAGATTATTGTAGTAGTATGTCGGTCTGTAATAAGTTTGATTTAAAAAGCTACTATCAAGTGCCTAAAAGAAAACTCCCGATGATCTCCCGGATCATCGCTATGTGTGGATTTAAAAGATCCTATAGTGCTTGTTGAACGTGATTTCTTTTTTATTTATCCTTATAAGAATTTCTATTTATATTAGCATTGTTGTTCAATGATTGAAATTTAA